CTAACTTGTGCCATGTGTTCTTTGAAATCAACGTGACATCAGAAGCAGTGTCCAACTGAAATCGTATAAGTTTTTCATTTACTAATAAATTTACAAATTTCCGCCTACTTTTAAATCCAACTTTAAAGGTTGCAAACGTGGTTTTAATTTGACTGTCTGATCGTTGCTTTGAATTTTCACTACGATGTTTAGTCTTGCGTTTTTTTAACGAACAATGACCTTCTTTGTGGCCAATGCGATGACATTTGCGGCATTTATGATTCTTAAACGGACAGAATTTTGCAAAATGCCATGCTTCGCAGAACCAGCATGGTGATGGGGGGTTGGCAGGTTGTTTCCTGCTTGTACAGTTTTGTTTCGATGATTTTATGGATCGGAGCGCATTAACTGAATCAGAACCGGAAGGTTTAACCTGTTGCACCATCGCAGTGTCATGCTTGAGATTAAGTAACCGCTGACATTCGGTTGTGACCATCTGTAATGTCATATTTGGTTCTTGTTCAATGCGTGCCAACATTCTGGTACGGACATCTGCATCTTCTTCATTCTTTAGACCACATATGAAAATCAAGCATTTAAATTGGTCCGCTGTGATTTCGTTTATTCTGAAGCGTTCGCACTGTCGATTTACCTTCCCGGCATACGTGAGATAATCATCCTCTGGAGATCTCAATATTTGGAAGCATTTATAGCGAGTATTAAATAATGAGGACTGTTCATCGAAAATATCGGATAAAATCTGGACTGTATCTTTGAATGATACATCTCTTGGATTTTGCGGTAATATAAAATTCACATATTTATTATATTCCTGTGTTCCCAGTCTTCTTAAGAGTAAGCGGACTTTTGCTGCGTTATCAAGATGCGAGCATTCAACGCGGAAAATATCTTCACAACGGTGAAACCACGAACTGAAAATGACATTAGCTTCAGGATCATACTGGAATTCAGAAATAGAATTTATGATGCTTTCATGCTTATCTGATTGACAAGCTGAAGACGACTGTAATGAGAACATTTGGGCCAATGCATCCAAAAGCTTCATTTGATTTGCATCATTTTGTGCTTGCTGTATTTGAAGAATAGTTTTAAGGTCATCCAATGAAACAGGCATTTTGTACTGGATCAATCAATATAGGAAAGAAAAAACAAAATTCTCCGTCGCCAGTTGTTATGACCTTGAATCGCTTTTACCCCGTGATACTTGTTATGGCTTGACCTTGACGCGCTAGGCTGAGTGGCTTAACCTTGAGTTTAATACGCGTGAGTTCGATTGGGGTAGAGAGAACTATTCTAAATCCTGACTGGTTGGCAAGCACGCGAGTGGAAGAAGACAAAACAGTTGGAACACTAAACTCTGGATTCTCTGAATTCAGATTACTACAAAAATGTACATGAATAAATAAGTGAATATCTTGACCACGACGTACGATAATTTGGAAAAATACAGTTATGCCCGAAACAGGGAATTAGGGTAGAAAATATAGTGCAAAATATTATGTTTAAATTACAATATTTTTGGAACAAAAAAGGGTATGCTAGTGAATGATACATAGAACGAAAGCTCGTGTTATGTAGAATAAGATAGGGACAAAAATAAATATAAGTGTTTTACAGGTTTTGAATGAAATGCAATAACGTCCCAAGAAAATAGCTTTCGTAATTGTCTGGGCTTCTTAATTCCCCGTTCGTAACAGATTTGTACGTATCAGCAGATGAAAAACGATTTGGTGATTCATTACTGGATTAAACAAGAAAATTTCCTGGAGCGAACGTTTCGATGTTGGCCTCTGAACTTAAAAAATCGTGCTTTCACATGATCAGACTTAGGGGGGAACAGTCGGTAAGACATTATTAGGAAAACCACCAGTTAGTTCGTGATAACTCAATATTAGATAACCTGTAGACCTACCATCGGTTTGTATGTAGATGTTGAGGTATCTCAGTCATTTTTAAACAAGTAAGGAAAACGTTTTATTTCAACTTGTTAAACCGGCACTAGTATGTCATTTTCATACTTCAAACGATCAGTTACTGCAAGATGTCCCGATATTTACCGAATCCAGCCTGTTGATCTCAAAGTTGGACGTCTACTGAAACTTTCATCTGGTTCAGCAACACTGTTGAAAACTTTTCTTGCTACCGGTAGTAATGTGATGTCTTTGTAGTTCTCACATTTGCTCAGATCGCGTTTCTTTGGTATCTTGATGAAGTGTCCTTCTCTCCAGTCTGATGGGACTTGATCTCCCTCCCAAATCTGTCTGCATGAAATGTGGCGCATCTTTACAATCACTTTCATGTCTAACTTCAATCGTCTAGTTGGTATGTTTTCTGGTCCTGCTGCTTTATCGACCTTAAGTAATCTGATGTCCACGCCCATTCCTTCGACTGTTGGTAGGGTAACACCTATAGGAAGGTCTGTAAGTGCTGCTTCGATGTCCGATGAGTTCAGTGGAGCTGGTCTATCCAAAAGTTCCTCGAAGTGTCTCACCCATCTGGTCAACTGCTCTCGAATCTCATTCATTATCTTGCCTTCTTTGTACTTGACTGGTCTCTCCAGTTTACTATATTTCCCTACCAGTTTCCTCGTTGTGTCATATAGTTGTCTCATATTCCATTCCAATTCAGCCTTTTCTGCTGTCGTTACCAGGTCTTCCACGTGTTTCTGCTTTTCAGTGATCATGCCCCTCTTCACTTACTTGTTTGCTTCAGTGTATTCAGTTTGCACCTTGACATCCTCTGTTCTTATTCCACTGTTGTTAGTCGCTGTCTTCTTGTTCTTCCTTTCTTGAATATTGTTTGGATTTTCGATAAAGATCCGTTCCTTGTTGAAGTTAGTGCTTCATTGATCCCTTTCTAGTTTTCCTCCATAGTAGTTTTATCTTCTTCAAACAGACTTTGTCAGGCTTATGATCCATTTTAGCTTTTCGTAAAACTGATCTTCATTGTTATCATTGATGGATGCATATCATTGGATAACGTTCATTATGATCCCCTCCTTCTTTGTTTCGAAGGACACTTTGATGATCCTGGATCCATGAGATTCTCATCCAATAAGTTCATTTTGTGCCTCTTTAGAAATCATCGAAACAACTTCCTACCTGTGTGGAGTATTTTTTCTTTGGACCAGAGTAAAACAATATCTCTCCCAAGTCTATCCTTTTTGTTCAGCTTCGGTACAATGGGTTTTACTTATTCCAAGCACCATCAATTCCTATCTCCTCATTTCCGTGGCTATTTGACTGGTCCTCCTGGTTTCGCAAATTGTCCGAACATTACATGTACCTGTGAGAATTGTTGTTGTGGTTGTTAGAAGGGCATCGGCCCAGTGACATTCGAAGATTCTCAGCTTTCACTATAAGGCTCTTCTAGTTCTTGTAAATAAATATCCTTCAACTCCCTAGGCAGAGTTTAAATGGTTTAGTTGTTTATTCTGGTTTGCGTCTTTTAGCAAGATTGTTTTTTACTGGATGTGGTTGCCGACCCTACGTCCAATCACACTCCTTTACCTGAACCTGCCACTGGCAGTAACTCTAGAAAACCTACAGGCCGTGTTAAGTAGATAGTTTGAAGTATTTTAATGACAGTACAAACTATGGATCCCAGAAATAACGCAATTTGACCAAGAAGTGCTAGATGAGCACAAACGCACGTGATGCATTCGGTATTCGAAATCAGACAGTCACCAAGTACAAAGGAATCATTAGTTTATAAAAACACCACAGTAGACAAATATTCGAACGTTATAAATGAATTGCAATGAAGCTTTAATCATGTCACACTGTTGTCCTCATGGTTTGCACACCCATGTCATAAATGTAAAGTCTTTGTCCTAGATTGTTGTTTATAAGGCAGCCGATCAACAGTCATTCCTGGTTCTAAAGTCATTACTTACTATAACTACCACCCATAAATTAATAACAATCTAGGACAAAGACATTACATTTATGGCGCTCACTAACTTGTCTACTCAGCGAACCTTCCTAGTCATCCTTATAATCTTGTCCTATCTACATCATTCCGTACATGTGCTCACACTTCCCTCATCAAAAATTTGTATGAGTAGATTGTATATCACCAACGTAGATGATCTATGTCGAAATGATTGGAGGCCTACTCGAGTTAGACGTGAATAGTGTGACGAACCAACTAACGTCGAAGTCACACCTCGTGGTCAGCACCTTACGTGGACTACCCCCATTGACGTAACAAGGTACTATAGATGCTTTGAAGACTGTACAACACAAAGGACGTTATTACAGAAATATATTAGTTAAAGTAGATACAAGCGAAAGTAAGACCACTGCCGCATGGGCCAGTCCATGGCATACCATTAACTAATGCGCGTTGGTTGTACATGACCTTGGCAGGGAGCGACGATCTGTTCGACATTCAGTGATCCAACTGCCGGATGATTTGGCTAGGGCTCAGTGACATTTCACTGGCCCTACAAGATCATACGCACAAGATTAACACAGTGTAGGCCCATTGAAGTGTTCTTTGAGAATTTCGATATTCATAGGTTCTCATGATGACGAAGAACCATTTAACTCCACAATTTACCATCTATTAATGTAGTCAGTAATTCGATCTCTAACTTTATGATTAATTCACTCTAAGACTCAGGTATGAGACCATATCAGTCACTTATGTTAACGCCTATAAACATCACACCTACGGCAGACATTCTAATCGTCACTGAATCCAAATCTTATTTTTCATTGAGATTGGTTATACATGAAAAAATGCTCGAAAACCATATTCTATGGATAAAGATTCCTCATCAAAGACTTGAATAAGGCTTGTCAGTGAGATCGAAAACCTACAGAAGGATTATTGAAGGTGGGGAACATGATTTTTTGAACGGAGGACTTCTAAATGACATATGAAACATTGAGACCAATGTACTGTTGAGGCGCACTTCCTGAAATCTGTGTCTTCATATGGTTTTCATCATTATTATTTAAGATATCACCATTGTTTGGGATATATAATCGCCAATGCATGACATCTCTAAGTGTTCAGACAACCTAAACTTTCTGGATTTGCTTGCAACCGTTCGTGCCGACCAAATTCACTCAGGATCAAACAATACGCGCACAGGACCGTATTTGATACGATACTCCACATTCCTCAACCACTTACAAAGAATTGCTATACATTGTGGCCTTCAATTGTCTTCAGGTCCATGCTCGGGTGGTGGAACATCTGCTGGAGCATTAGTGTGGAGATTAACATCTGAGTGCTTTGCAGTAGTAGTTGCTGCAACTAATAACTCTATCACAACTTCTGATTCGACTTATAACAACTCACCAGAACTGACAGATCTTATCTCGATTGCCGCAGTTTATTTCGAGTTTAATCATGATAAAGCTGTGGTAAGTATATCATATAATCGTATTAAAATTTCCATGTACAATTCTATTGTCAGCTTTTGGAGATTGAGGCTGTCTATTTATATCTCTATTTATTCCAAACGAGCTCAGAGTTCCGGATTTGTGAATTTTGAAACGTTTTAGCTAGATTTATGTCTGTAAGATGAAGTATTTACCACTCGAAAACATATATGAATTTCTGTACATAGGTTGCATCCATTTCGTGTGGTTGATCACCAAGTTTCATCCTAGTGGTGATGGCTTAACTAACGGGAGCCTGCGCTCCACATTAAGCGACTTTAAAGATGCGAAATGGGACGGCCTTCTGCTTACTGGTTTATTGTAGACATACTAGTTTTCGAGAATTGTGACTTCAGGCTATGATTGAGATAAGAGGTTTTTATGAACAGCTTGTTTATTCTTATAGATTTGCGTGATCATATTTGTCACCTTAAGTGACACTGGTCCCATTGTTCATCATTTCCTTAACAGTTTATTCAAAGGCTCAGAATTTACTTCACTCTAAAATATTTGGTTGCAGTTAAGTATTTTTCAAAATAAGATATTCCGTCGAAGAAACTTACAACATCGCGAGTATCAGTCAAAAAGTGGGACGTGTGCTCGATAGCTCTTTATTCCATTACTATTAACTATAGTAATATTAAACATTGGGGAGTAAGATTCGAAAAAAGAACGAATTCACTCACTAAAGAGCATAAATTAATGCCAAAGCTCAAAAGTCAGGGGCAAATTGAGTAAATGCATCTGCATTGTTTTGGTCGATACTGATTCACTTCATTTACAGACTCCAACTAACCATGATTATTTGCAGATTCCAGTCAGGCAGTTTGGACCTTCTTAGACTGCTCAGTTCAGCTTATTCCTACTTCTAACCCACGTCGAGTCAGGTGGTGGTCAGTACGCTTGACTTGCCCCCGACATCTCATGTTTATTCATATAAAGACGAGGATATGTGTAAATATTCCAGGTAATTTTTTATGTATTAAATTAGCTTCATAAGAGTTACGATAGCCGGACAGACAATAAGTGATGTGGAATTCACAAAAGTATCTATCCAAGTTTTCACGTTCTACTAATACTTTAAAAGGGAATCAACAAGAGGAACCCTAAGGTAGTAAAATTAATCACGCTAACATTAGTTGAGACCTAATGATGTAAAGAGTAAAATGTGAAGGCATAAAATGTGAAACATATTTAAAACTAATCAAATAAAGAATTCCGAAAGGTAGAATAATTCTATGTCCATGATTTACAGGGAATTGTGGGTTGAATGCATCTGTGTCACTGCCACCCAATATAAACCCTGTGAGTTCTCAGATATTTAGATAACGTACAATGTTTTATGTTGTGTCCCAAAATGAATAAATATAGTTAAATAATCTCGGATCGTCCTTCGTTAATGTTTGGCTGAGGTTCAGCTACCACCTGTCCAAATGCATTACACTTAGGAGCACCAGAATTTACTAACACTGAGGGCAACTAAGCTTATGTATAACTCTAGCCGGTAGTCATAAACTCATGGTATTAGTCGTTTAGACCTGGTTACACTGGTCTGAAACATAGGTCGATATAATTGTGTCAGATCCTACGTCCATAAGTGAGTACGATCTTATACATTGGCAATTTAATGAAGATAACCAGAATAGCAGCTACTTTGTGTGTAGTTTATCCCATTTCACAAGCGGGAAAGTCATCCCTTTAGGGGTGTATTTAGACATCGATCCTCTTCCTCCAAGTGCAAAATGTTGCTCTCGGACTGACCTGTGTCATTGCCTAAATTAATGATAGGAAGTCAGTCAGTCAGTGAATTAGTTGAGTGTAACGCTCACTTATCTCTGGAGTCTCATCAGTCCTGATAAGCTGGTGTCTGACGAAATCTCGACATGGATTCAGAAAGTTCGGTTCTATCTTACCAACTTGAGTCTTGTGACGGTAAAATATCCATCTGCCAGCCAAAGGATGAGTTTACTAAGCAACAGTTCGATTTGTCTCACTTTATGCACGTGGAACATGGTCATTAAGAATATAAGTTATTCGTAGGGTACCAGTATTCGATCACGGATGTCCTCGTATCATTGCTTGTGTATTTTAGGATCACCAAGTAAGTAATGTCTGGGTTAAGGATAAGGTACTAGGTAAGGACGGGAAATCGATTAATGAGGTAGTAGGTCTCCATTGATTGAGGTAGTTGAGACATGTATTACATATCCCTACCCACTACTTACCTCGTTGGACGATGTCTGGTTGGATGGAAGCTAGAGGCGGCCAAACTAAAGCGTAGTATCAGTTCATGAAGTCACTGACAAATTAGCTGGGCCTTGTTAACGGATGTATATTATCTTGTTGGGATCCACAAGATTATCGTAACCAATGATTAAGGGCCCTGAATGACATGGTTCAGGTACATCCACTCTATGTTTTCTTAAATCCTGAGTTTCTAGATTCGTCATAATCTTTTTACTTCAATAATTTCTTTCGTGAATCGTATCTTCGATGCTTAATCTTTTCTATTGCCTCTGATATTGTTCCTACTATGAGATTCTTCCTAACAATTTCATCTCACTGCCCCAATGAGGTATAGCAACGTCAACCGATGTAAACGTACCGGGTTTAACGCATTTTGCTGACTGCATTTAGAACTATGCTTCTAAGTCTGCCCACCAGATACAGGGCTATAAATCTCAAATGTTTGATTTTTTGTAGTATGTCTTTCTTTTTGCGGTAAAGACTTCTATAGTGTTTATTCCATTCATACAGCCTTGTCCGGAGCTGGCCACTGATCTCAGTATGGGCAAATATAGTTCATTACTACAGCATGTAGATAATCTTCTGACGATATATGCAGTTCCGGGTGATAAGTAAGTTATTTTGTTATCTATAATAATACATTAGATTCTTATTTGTTACATGGAGCCGTGTGTAATCTAGCAAGTAACTAATATGCGTGAACTGGATTTGGAATTGATGAACTAGCTCCTTGCTGAATCACTAACTTTTCTTATCATTTTGTGTGAGGTATTACATTTTCACTTTATTTTCTACAATCGAGTTGTCGTAATCATAACATATCTTATTACTTCGGTGTGCACCACAGTGAATATCTCATTGTAAGATAATTCTGACCGCTATACCATTTCTCTTAGAAAGTCACGTTATTAGGTATAGTGTTGTGGGGATTGTAGTCGTCGGTTAGTGAATGGAGAATCCAGAAATCCTTTGATATTATAGTCTCCATGGTTATGACAGTGGTATATATATAATCGGCTTTGTCTCTTCCATGTTTGTAACTTTCCTTGCAAAATCAGTAGTTAAGTAAAATACTGATTACAGAAATTCTGCTTAAAGTAAGTGAAGGAAATGTGTTTCTCCCATCCGCACTTCATTTAAGCAATTAAAACTTAAGGGGTAGAGTAAGTATAAACAGTGGGAACTGTTTTTAATGGTAATGATAAGTTTGTGAGATTCCAGTGAATTAGGAAAACTACCGATTTTTTTTAAAGTTTATCTGTTTGATTTTCATGCTTATTTAAATACAGAGAACCGTAATGCCCTAATTCAATCTATAATCTAAGCTATATTTTGCAAATCTACTCCCTATTAAAATAGGATTAATTTTTAATTCATACAAGTTTGTTGTAAATTGATATCTGTTGTTTATGTGAGTGACTGATTCGTGTAAAAGAACCGGAATATATATATTTCCTAATACTTATCTCGTGATTATAATCATTCATAGCATAAGATTTTAGCTCACTCATCTCAATATGCAACTTCTGTTGACTGGATCTCAGGTTCACTTTCCATTTACTTATCTATTACAAATACAAAAGGAATGGCTCAAAACAGTGTGCCATAACCTAGTCAGTCATTTTTAGTGATTAAGGGGTTTACTTAATTGGGTTCTACTCTTAAACCCATACCACCTGAGCGTTCTCCTTCACTTTTATGTTTGAATCGCTAGCCAATGAGATGGTATTATCCTTTCGTTTTTAATGTACATGTTACCTATTTCTTATCTGATAGGTTTCTGTGGTTGGCTTGTTTTCACTGGACAAATATTTATTTTTAATCATTCTGTATTATTAATTGATACTATATTTGTGTTTTGAAGACGAACTAAACTGAAAATAAAATTTGTTAGTGTTCTAAATATAACTCCTCAAAATTAAATTGTCAGTGTTACACATCAAAATTCAGCCAAGTATGTGTAGTTAAAATAAATCCTGCATGGTTTTAGATGATACCTAAGTTAAGTCAGCTAATCCTGCATTATCAGTTCAGTGATTTTGATTTCCTTGTCAATTAAAAGGTCTACATTTCTTTTCTATTTCTTTTTAAGGATTGATCGTGCTCGAACCTACTTATGTTTACAGGCTCTTGAGAAAGATTTGAGTATGCTGACTCAGGCAATGAGAACTGACTTAGAAAATAATATCGATGCCATAAGTACATTTAGGCGAGCACCAAATCAGAAACATGATGTATTTAGTATGCGTGACCTAGTAAATCGTTCACTCGTTGGACACTTTGTTGGACGTACAGGAGGCCGGCTAGCTAGACTTACTTACCTAGTCACATCTGCACAGGCTATGATCAGTAATGCAACTGGAGTAATAAAGAATAATTTACAAATGAATTCAAAAAGTACATATTCATCTAGTATTGGGTGCGGATCTCGTGATGGTCTTATTGGAGGCTATATGGCACGCATCGGACTTTGTCCTAGATTGTCGTATGTAGAGGATACTTCCGCAGTTGCCCAGTCTACAGTTCAACGACTTCCATTTATGCCTTTAGTGACACTACAGAAAGATGCTTATGGTATAAGGTGAGTAAGTCACTCTGATAATCATTACTTTCCGTTTTTTGATAAAAAATTTGATGACGTGTTTGAACAAGTGATTTTTGCCTCCACAGACACAAATTTGTGAGTGATGAGTAAAAAAGGCTGACTGACTTTTCACAAAATTCAAAGCTTATAATATTTTCACAATTTGAATACTTTGTATCCATTTAGATCAATCTGTAAGATACAATAACCCATTCCATGGTATCAATAATTCCTGTCTGCTTTTATCTATCTACTGTTGGATGGAAACGATGCAGTTCTATTCTTCTCTTTGCGTGAAGCCAAATTACAAATGGGTCCGGTCGTTTATCATCTTAAGTCTATTTTAAAACCGTATTTCTTCCCACTGAGTCCGTTTAATACAAACTACTTCAAAATCGTCTGAATTTTTATCCGTGTTCTTCGCTTAGGAGTCAGTTGTTTGTTTCGCTTGCTCCCAGAAACTGGAATTTTACTCGTGATTTATGGATAATTTTTTCGTGTCATGACAAAATTACACTATAAAATGAGATTTGTGTGGGTGTTCTTTAGTTTCGAGTTCACATTATCTTAATAATATGATAGTTACATGTATGGTTTGAAGACTTCATCTACCTTTAAAATTGTGTGTTTTATATCCTTATTTATTCATACTTATTATTTCCCTGCTATTTTTTCTTTAGTGTCCCTCATTTTGCTCAACCAGATGAAATCAAGTGTATATCAATTGAAGCTGAATTCGTACTACATCTAGATCCTCCTTTACCAATCTCAACAGATGCAATTCAACAACTTGAGCGTACTACAGGTAAACCTCTTCTTCCCTTAAGTGCCTCCACTTGACTTGTCGTCTCTATCATGCTTTTTGATTTATAGTATTATTTTAGAGTAGTTATTAGTTATATTTTTTCTCTTTTAATGTAAAGGTTTAAGTAATACAGAAATCATAGATCAGAAAGAAGAAGATATAGTTTTATTGATTTTACGGAAATATAAACAAGAACATTTGTATGGAATAAACACACATTTAGTGAGTGAATGTTTATGTAAATTTTTCGAATACATTCAATATATTTTTTTAGAATTTATTATCTATATAATAATAAAATAAATATTTAAATTATACATAAAGTTTTCTTTTAATGTAATCAAAATAAGAAATGTTTGTAAATTAATATTTCCCTTGATTATTTAGTGTTAAAATGTGCTCGTGAATCAAGTTGTACATAGAAAAAAGTATCTATTAAACTTGGTAATGATTTGGTACCTGAAATAAATCAATAAAAAAAGCTCAAAACTATAATCGATTTAGTCACTATCATAATCACGGGTGTCCTATTTAATTTTTATTTGATTTTCTTGTCATTTGAATAGCTCTTCTATTTCCATGGAAGATGTTGATATCTATGATTATTCAACAATGTAACTTAATCGTCACAAAGGTTTAGCTTTCAAACATCGAGTCAAATGTTCGAAACTGAGCTAGATCCATTTTATTTTGTGCTACCTCTTGGTTAGTTATGAGAATCCATTAACATTTTTAACCAGCTGATTTTACAGTGAGACAAGAAATAAAGTAACTTAAACTGTATATACATGATGACGTTATATTTGTTGCATTTATAAAAATCATGTTAGATAACATTTATTTCGACTATAAGTTAAGATTCTAGATATTGATAGAGCTTTTTTACACAATAGTTAATGTATATTGTTTTATTTTCAGTTCAGTACATCAACTCTAATTTTTATTTTTCTTATTGTTTGGTTTTATCTAGCAAAACCCAAATATTACACAACATAGTTATCAAATTAAGAGTGATGTCAAAGCCTATCTTGTCAGCTCAGTTCCATTTACATGTTCAGATCAAATTGGTGAAATTATTTCTATTCTTCGTAAACAAGCATCAGCTTTAGCGTTTTATGAAACATTTATTGTTCATCCTGATAAACCAGTGGAAAAAGGTGGGTTTACACAATTGTTTATAGTACACAACCCAACTTTAGGTTCTAAATATTTTTCTGACCGTAATGACTATTGAATTTTAAATTGTGACTATCACATGTGAATATATGTGCATTGAAATTATCGAGATTACAAATCAAATGGTGTTTGTTTGCAAACTATATAGCAAAAGTCCATGGAGTAAAAATGTTGAACCTCTGAGTGTTAGTTTGTTTTATAAACAGACGTCTGAATCTCCTGTATAAGGTCTTTAAAATGGTCATAATCACTGGTTCTATTACTTGGGGTGATATATCTTTAAATATTTTGTCAGTCAGTTAGTCTTTATCAACGTAGGATGTGGCACGAGTTTGTTCTGGCCTAAGTTGTCACATCTCACATCAACATAACGAAAGGAAATCGAAAGAGCAAGAAGCATAGGATGGAAAATAATACGAAAACAATGGAAAATACAGTTCAAATGGAATAGTTGCAATCAGAGGATGAAGATTTAAGAAATGATACTTAACTTCAGATTCGGCTAAAGAAAATGAATGCAACTTTGTTGCTATGATTGATTTATAGATGGCACCAAACTTATTTAACGATGATTTTGATTATTGTTTGTGACCCAGCGAGGAAGTTTTCATCTTCCAACATAGCTCAAATCATGTCTCGATTTGCGCATTCCTATATTTCCTCCAGCCTACTTCTATGTCAGTCAGGATTACATGTCGGGGTAGTCAGTGGTTAAATAGTTAGCAGTTTGGACCCTTATTATGTTTAGTTATCTTAGTATCTAAACCGTTAATATGCATAGTAATGCTTATTTTGTTTCTTCCAGATGACGCTTTAACGTTCTCGTTTAATATTAAAATCATGGGTGGTCAGATGATTTCACTAGAGTTTGATGATCCTAATCGTCTGGGAGCGAAGATTCATGGTAAGTAGTTCTTCAAAGATAGTAGTAACGTACCATCAATATAAAACACAATAAATGTATCGATAGGAGTTCAGGGTGTAATTTACTCAATGCGTAGTTTTTGCAAGTGCACTGTGCAAATGTGCAGAAAGGTGGGGATTAAAATTTTACAAAATTTATCATTAAATTTACGGTAAAATAAACAGATTTTATTCATCTGAATCCCAGTTAAAATTGATACGTGTTAATAATGCGGCAGTAAATTCGATTCCTACTATTACGGACATAGTCAATTTCTTATCCTCCTTTTTAACTGCTACCGAGATGTTCAAATTTAAAAGGTTAGGTTTCTTTGAAAACTTAAAAGATAAGAGTAGATCAACATCGATTGAACACGGATACATTTACAATGCTCTTCAGTCAATCAGTTATATGGAACATCGAACTTGACACATATGTGCATCGGTTCAAGTTACCACACCACATTAACACTGCAAAGTAAATTAGTCAAAGGATATCTAAGAGTGGTAGAAGGAGTAACAATATCAGTACTGATATAAAAGGTTAGTCATAGAAGGTGTGATTCTAACAGAAAATATGGGTTTGTGGAACTAAAAATAAGATGATTCGGATACTAAGGGTCTTAAGGAAGGAAAAAGATAGATTCGCTTACTCCCTCAGGACTAAATTTGACATTTAAACAAACTAACCATCGTTTTTAGATGAAACAACATGAAGAATCCCTGATGGGGAGAATTTTGTTTGGAAAAAATGAAAAATTCGGAACTGCAAGAAATAAATAACGGAAGATGATACAAACGGTTTTTGCTGATTCGAACCTAAGTGTGATGTTTAATTCGAACACATGCTGACTTAAGTTCCTCCCTTAACAACTATTGAGAAATCGTCAGAAATGATATGCTTACAAACGTTAATTTTTGAGGTTACGAATTAAACTAACATTTTATTGGTTGCTCTATATGCCTTGAGTTAAGCACTTGACTTTGTTTTAATAATTTGGTCTTATGATGTAACCAATCACTGTCTTATTTACTTCTTAGCTTCTTTACATGTGCGTCCGTTCGATGTCCAGTGTCTGGAATTAAATTACTTTTCAAATACACATGATCGCTTGAATAGTAACTGTCCAAGTAATGACAAAGAAGTAGATGTCATGCAACTGAATAAGCTAGACATAGAGTCTGGAGGTAATCTCAAAGCTAACTTCAGCAAAATTCTCACAAAAACACATACATTACCAATTGGTTTTGTCTGGTTGCTAACTCAACTCCAATGTCCTGTTCATAAACAGTTGGTAAGCCTGAAGTTGCCTGTAACCAATTCATATAATAGTACTGAGAATAAGGAAAGCTATTCATCAGTCAGTCAAAATCAATTGACTTCTTTAAGGACAATGCTTAATCGTGTTAAATCATCTATTATAATCCGTGGGGCTAACGGTACTGGTGGTGTACTTTGTGGTGGAGATCGAAAAGTTTCATTGGATTTTGAATCTTCCTCATCATTCGCTGCAGCACAAGTATTTGCTTTAAATACACCAAACTATTTGAACAATGCTAAAAAGATACCTCCTTTACCTCCAGGTGTCATGGCAACACCTCCTCCTGCGTTTACTCATTTGGATACAAGCTCAAGTATGTTGTTGTCGTTGTCTTTTGCGGGTTTAGAAACGGTAATTATAGTAACGAAAACAAGTTCAGTTTATCAAATACAGTTATGTTTAATAGAATAGGGGATTCCTAGCATAAAATATTTCAAAATCTTCCTCATAATCGTCATTTACGTTACTATATATATTCTCACACCGTGTTCGTCACATATTTGTGCTAGATAGGGTATTAAAAGCTTGTCGATTTGCCTTTTTATGCGTGGACTTTGATGTAGCTGCGTTCCATTCTTTTAGAGGCTATTCAGTAGAGAAGTCGTAAGAGAAAACAGCGGTATGTATTTAATAAAAAGCAATCGCAGTTATTTTTCGGATTTAAAAGGAATCCGTGCAACCGTATTATAACAAATACCAAACCATCAAAATGATTAATTCAAGTTGACATCACTTATTGTATTGTGATGTTCACTGTACCTAACCACAAGTTTGTAGATCTTAATAGTAATAATGTAGTATTGCTTTCTCATGTAGGCAGTCATTCAGGTATAAAGAAGTTTAAGTACAATAAGCCCTCAAATATCATTAGTTGATAGAGGCCAGGTTTCGGAAACACAAAGATAAACTGGTTGTGTACTGCAGCTAAATCTACCTTCTCTCCAATTTTGATTACAATAAAAGTGACAACCCCTGTGTTTTTTTAAAATTAGTTGCTGCATCAGCTATTTCATTTGATAATTCCGTACATTAAACAAATATTCGGCAACTTTTAAGTGTTTAAACGAAACTTCCGAAAAAAATAGGCTTTTATTTAGGATAAGGAATAAATTAAGACGAAATTGAATATAAATTTCATGGAAAACAAACCCCATAGAGACATAAGGTGATGTCATATTAGTTTGATTATAATAAAATAACTAGGGTTTATAAAATGGATTATTCTCATATTCTTCCTCTTCGATCGTAACAGGGTTGTTGAAAACTCATCTTATTCAACGGTAAAATGTTAGGAGTTCTCTCAGAATCCTGGTAAGGAGAGAGTAACAAAAAAGTTTGAATCGAAATTGATGTCTCAGCCTCAATCTATTGTGTAAATTACAACTTTTTTAATTTATGTCGTCCAGGGCTTACTGGTAGTATATTCTTTGTATCTCTAGCATTAAAAGTTTCAGTTACTGATTACCTATATTTTGACCATTAAACTTTGCTATGCATTGTTAAAAATATTTATCGAAATGTTTCTGTATAACTATATTTAAAATATTTTACCGATTAAACATATCCTTAACAGGTGACCTTGGCATTATATCATCTTTGCGACCTGTGAACTCTCAAGGCAAATTACGTGATATGCATCCCAATTCCAGTTTACCAGCTGTCTCAACTAATCCATCCCGTGGGTTAAGGCTGGATGACTTATTAGTTGATAGTACATTTCAAACACAACAACAGTTACAGCAGCGTAATCCACCTCCCATTTCTTTTTCCCACTCGTTACCAAGCTATGTATCGCCTATTCCTGGGACACATACTACCTCTTTGGCGGATGTGAAGGAAGCCTATTCTGACATGATTAATCCCAACATTTCTACATCAAATTATCTTTCATTACCTACTATTCATTCCTCACATAAGTATGGGTCTTCTGTTTTGTCCGGGTCAAATAGTATCCCTTCAAATTTATACAATATACCTTCTATGTCTGTTAGTGCTTCCAATTCAGAGGCTACAAGTTCATCTGCTGTAGTCAAATCCAAAAGTTTTACTGGTAAGCTTCTAATTAACAGTATATTTAAATGTACATTTCTTTACTAAAGCGTGTTTAGTCAAAATTAAATGGATCTCACTGAAACTTTTGTGGCTACTAACACTGACCGGCAATTGATTACTATTCAAAAGCTAATGAATCATTAGTTTGAATCGTTAACAAGGGCATTAATAAATTGACTACCCCTTTAGATCAACCAGATTCTTTAGTTTGAATTATATAAGTATGCAAAGTATTCATCAATTAAAACACAATTGTATGAACGAAGAATATTCTTTTCAATAATTTCTCATCAGGTTGAGGAATTATTGAAAAGAATATTCTTCGTTCATGCAATTGTGTTTTAATATAATGGGAATTTTTCAGCGATTAAAATCTTGTATTCATCAATTAACAGGGTAGTTTTTTTTAATGTAAATATAATTTCCATTAAATATTCAATTGTATATGGCTTAGTAGTTGTGCTGCAGATACTTGCAAAATGAACAGTAACCGCATTCGTCACTTCTCAGTTAAACCATTGAGTCTTTAATTCATTATTTTGAGATTAGTTCTCATTGCGTATCAGTTGTTGACATAATTACAGCTTGTCTTTTAGAACTAACTTATTTCTTGTCAGCGATGGTGAAAAATGTGACTTTAGGTGATATTTCCCATTATACTACTAAGTACTTAGTCATTTAGTCAGTTATAATCAACGTAGAGTTTGCCACAAGTATAGTTTAGCCCGAATCGCCGTACCACATCAACACTATAATTAACGTTCAATTTGTTCCCCACCGGAATCGAATTAGATAACTGAATGGTCAACGGGCTCATCTTTGATCCTGAAAGATCCTACTTTTAAATTTTGAAGTGGTTATAGTTGCGTACTCCTTAAATGAATTAGATCGACAATGAGGTAGTCCATATTTTATTTACTCCCAATGATTTTTCAGTTAATATCAAATTTTGATAGAAGTCGGGTTGAAGTTTCTAGTTTTTATCTCTACATTCACATTACTGATAACGAAACGTTATTTTTTCTTACTGTTAGCCTCACCGGTTAGTGATAACTCCAGAGCTCCATCAACAAGCGGATCTATGCTTGTTAATCTTTTAAACGAAGATTCACTTTCTACTTCCATTCCTTTGGTGTCTCCATCCAGTATGACAGATCGTCACCACTACAATCCCAGTCATTCGTTAACAAATCTTCAAAATAGTCCCCTCACTTCAGCTGCGAGCAGTATAAACGTTTCTAATAGTCGACTTCCTGGCTTGATGTTATCCAATAGCTCTCAACTCCCTAGTTCAGATGCACAGTTACCCCAAGGGTGTGGGAAACCTTTAAGTTCATCTGCAACAAACCTTACTCCGAATAGTTCCCAGTACCCTTCCGTTCGTAACTCCAGTTTAATCACTCCTAATACTGGTCGTACCAAACATACAAGCTTAAAGAACAGTCAAGCTAGTTTAACTGTTAACCCCACAAGTAATCCTAAAAAACCTCGTAAAAGGCGTCGAGGAACGGTGGAAGGTAGTTTCCGATGCATTAGTAGTCAAAAAGGCAATACACCTGTTCCTGGTGTATATTCTAACTATCCCACTACAAAGCACCAGCGTGTCGACACCGTTTTACCGACTACCAGTATCTCATTGTCAGGAACCTACCAGCGCCCTACTTTTAATCAAACAAATTCAAATTTCTCTTCATGTTCACTGCCATATGTCCAACAGAGTACGGCAGCATCTACAGTGCAAAGTATCAACATGCAAATCCCTAACCCTAGTAAATCGGTCTATGACTTCGACGATAACCCCAGTTCAATGTTCGATGTCCCGGTCGGTAATATATCGTCCTCCAACTCCTTATCGTTTTCAAGCGGTTCTTCATTAACAAGTCCTAAATCTGGTGTGTCTGTAAACCCATTACAGTCTGGTAGCCTGGCAGTTAGTAATACCAATCCAATTTCGAATTTTCCTGTGACAACAATGATGTCATCAAATTCAAATTTAGAACGAACTATCGAACGTAAAACTAGTCTGAAGATGACGATAAAAACAATACCATCTCAACCGATTACTTCAACTCCTAAAGCAAGAGTAAACTTTAACCAGAATGAAGTTGATAAATACAACAAACTCCAGTCTGTCCAATCAAATTCGACCCCTATTAATACATCGGACTCTGGAGGTACAGTTCATCCAGCTCAACCTTTGCCATCCGTTAAAAAACGTAAAAAACGTTCCGTAGAGGGCAAACCATCAGCATATATGTTACAAATGCTTCAGCTTGCCAACTGCTCAATAAGTGGTTCTGATGCCTCAGTTACCACTACTAGTGTTACTACTGGGGCTTCTGGAGTTCCTAGTCAGTCAGCAATTACTCCTCTTGTACTTAACAGCTCTGGTTTAAAACAAATCAAAAGTACGAATAAATTAGTTGGTCATGGTTCTGTCTTAGTGAAAAAGGAACGTAAGCGTCGTTTAGGTCATGGCTTCACAGAGAAGACTCATTTTTCCTTCATTCCAAATAGTAATACTTATAACCAGGCACAAGAAACAGCTGACAATTCAAATATACCGAAGCTGATAAAAATAAACCGTGTTTCCCGACCACCAACTTCTGATGTACCCAGAGATAATCAAACGGGATCAGGTACGACTCCTAATTTGTATAGTAACTGTATTTCAATGTCCCCCAACTCATCATCAAAAAAGAAGGTTTCTGCACTTAATTCTACTCCGCTTGGGACTGGTGCTGGAACTAGTTCCGGGAGTGATGATATGATGGTTGCCAAGAGGTTGTTTTCTTCATCGGCTTCACCCTTAGTAAGCGGTGACAAGCGCAAGCGCAATCCAGAAACTTCGAAGCAGTCTAACAACTCTCAGTCTGCTCATCCTAATTCAGGTACCTCAAGTGATTCTGCATTTATATCTTCCCCCCTACTTCCTTGTACTAGTTCAGATCCACCTACCAACAGTAACACATCACGTAAAACACCTCGTCCATCATTACATACAGCACCTAATTTACCTCGTGTTCCACATACTCCCACAAGTAAATCTCAACCTGTTCAACAAAGTAGTACTCTCAATTATTTATCCTCCAGTTCAGTATGTACTCCAAATCCAGCTTCTGTAAGTGTTGTTGGTTCTTCATCTGGATTAATTAAAGGCTATAAGATCCCTAAAAAGAAAAGTACAACCACTGGCTGTTTACCAAGTGTATCTTTATCGGACGCAAGTGGGGACAAGTCAATTGGAATGTTGTCTACCACACTTCAGCAAATACAAGAAAGCGTTTCATCCTACAGGGATACACCAGATTCTCAATCTCCAGAAAAATCTGACGAATCCAGTCTAACTATTGTTGAAAATATGTATCCAAGTTCTAACGATCCTAATCTAGAGGGCGTAGATCCAATAAATGCAGTTGTGTACAATGCAAATATAAATGATGCAGCAAATAATACTGATGACAATTCTTCAATCCCGTCCGATTCAGTTTCAGGCTTTACGGCCCCTAATACTGAGAGCTGTTCACAATCCATCCTTCATCCAATTTCACTGCAGTCCAATTCGTCCGTTTCAGGACAATGTTCGCAATCGTCACAACAGCAGTTTCCCCGTAAATCTTCAGTGAAAAGTATTAGTGATATTGTTGATAAATTACGGGCAAAATCTACGACTAGCATAACTTCATCTACTTCAACAATTATCAGTGATTCATCGAATGTCGGAAGTTCTGACACAACAGCAATCACTTCATATGAAGTTAAAGATTCTACAATAAATTCAATGCTCTCTGATAATCCAAGCTGTGTCCGCAGTATAACTAAAAAAAATGATGAATTTCAAGATCAATGGAGAGACAATATCTTCGAGAAATTTTGTCCAAGGTTAGTTTTATATACATAGTACCTCGTAATTCTAAATTTATTCTTCTCTTTAACGAATCTTTTTCATCAAGTTTTCTCGTTTTGTGTGTTTAAACAGTATTTTATTGACATTGACAATCATTTTTCATGCTATATTTAACATATTTTTTAAGGGAATAATGTTAACAAATAATCAATCATTGAATTATAAAAATCATTGATCATTGCACAAATGTGCGTTGGCTCAATTTGCTGCACTTCAAATCAACATGTTGAGATGAAATTAACCACAGAAACTTAAATAATTGTATCTATGGTAATAACAAAAAGGCTGAACAATATGAATATAGTTTGATGAGAAGTATTCCGTGAAGGTATACATGAAGGAATATGTACGCCTTAAAAGCAAGGAAGTATGTTTGCACAACTACAACTGATTAGAGAATATTAGAGCATACTTGGAAGTGATACTATCCAAACTATTGTATGTAAATAACATTAGATTGAAGCATATTGTTATCCATACTTTATGTTTAGCTGGTAAAAAATATGACTATATGTTGACCATCTAAGTATTCACGATCAATCGTTCCCTATCTTATAACAAACAATGCAGTAGAAAGTGATCCCATTTTCAGTCTTTAAGTTTTTCTTCCTTATTATGATAAAAATGTACAATTTGATTCGATGTTCTCGTGATATTATGCAACATAGTGAAGCTAGCATTATATTTTTTACATTTTCACTCTCAACTAGCTAATCCAAAAGGTGTATTTTTTGGACTTTGTATTTCATGTGAACATCAAACACATTGTTTTTTTCTCTTAGAGGTTCTTTATCGTTATTGTCATGAGTTGTATGATGGATACGATACTGCCCGAATGCCTAAACAAAAACAGATTGTTTCCTTAGAGAACTGCCTTCCATGCCTTTTACTTGGTAATCTAAACTGGAAAGCGATAGAGTAACGTCACTAAATTCATTTCCATGATAGTGGGTGATAGAAGGAGGTCGATGCCCTACCCTTTTCTTTACAACCTTGGAGCTTATATATGATAATGGCTTTTGATGTCACGGTTCTTCAACACGTCCAAGTAAAACCTCTTCATCAACCAACACAGTTTAGGCCACAGATGTCCATTTTTTGTCCATACTTGTTCCATAGTGCTCCTGCCAAATTGGAAGCTATGGTGAGTACTTTTTTATAAGAGACTACAAAGACGTTGATACATGGAGAAGTATCGTGATCCCTCTTTGCCCTCACTTGTACTAGTGCATTTTTAGGGCTTCTAGTACTTAACATCACTGACGAAACTATATTTTCTTACATAGCTAAACTGGTAAATTTCCACGCGGATATGTAAGTTCGTGCTCCATAATTTAAAACCCACCTAATGGGCAAAGCATGTTGTATGATTGATTTATTTTATTTGAAGTAAACCAAGTGAACTCAAACCCAGAAGCCAGTCGAAAAATGTGTATGTAGATTACCGAATCACCTTCACTACACTATTTGAACTACCCCTTATAACAAGCAGTCCTGTACAATCCTATTTTTTTGTTGATCTCATTTTTCGCACTACATGTTTCTTATTTTCTGGAATAATTACTTTCGGATTAACTTTTATTTAGTGGGACACCGACACCGCACCAAACAGAAAATGGTCAGAACAATATATGTAGATCAGATTCTGAAGTGGATTTGAGCACATCAATTGAAAATAGTGAAGAATCTGTATGGACTAGTGGAAATAAAGAACCAGTGTATGATAAAGATGAAAGAAATATATCCTCAAGTAATTTAAATGCTTCAATGATTCATTCGAATACTCAGTCTATCTCAGATTCAGAGGGGAAACAAGGCAAACAACAATTTGAGGTTTGTTGTTTAGTTTTGCAATAAGTTTTTCGCGTACATTACCAAAAATTACATAAAAAGCGCCATTTTTCAGTTGATAGAAAATATAACATATAGCGTAAATGTAAACGAATAGGCAGTTACGAGTTATTAGTTTTCTGTAATGTCCTAGTTTTGGAGGTTTATCTGACAAAATTTTAAAAAACTGTAATATTGGACCTTTACACTCTTACTGTAAATACTCTTGTATTCGTTCTCCATGTTAGAGTTATAAATGGATGTTATTATTCATTAATATGAAGGAACAATAACTCTTCTTCAATTGCTCTGACCAGACGATCATTTATGATCAGAATATTGTTAAAATATCTTAACAATCAATCCTAGATCAGCATGTAATTTCTAGTTAAATGCTCGTGTTCTATCGAATAAGTAATTACTTCGTACATAATGATTACTATCTGGTAAAATTTGTTTCCGAAGTTATGCTAATGTATGATGAAAACATTCACTGGGTTATTTTGAATTTAGATGCAAAAAAGGTTCTGTGGCAGTATCTGTCATTGAACGGTGTGCCTCAGAAGTACATAAACCTTGTGACGGTTCTTTACTTGAATAGTACCAGTTGAGTTGTGGCTAAATGTAATCTGATTTTGTAACCTAAAGTAGTATCCGACAAGACTATCCACCATCTCCATTTCTGTTTAATTTCATCATAGACCTACTGTTGGAAATAACGTTCAAGTCAACTGAGTTTTCAGAAATTGATCTCCTTCCAGGAGGACAAGGTTGTGAATCTTCATCGACTGAGATGGTTGAACCACGTGTTACGTATGCCTGAACACCGATTAGCACGGCGCACAATGCTGACGTGTTGCGGATGATTGGAAGAAAGTTAGGGGGAGCCAAACTAAAGCATGGCATCAGATCTTGAAGTCACTAACTTCTGTTTTGAGCCATGTCGGTAGATGCAGACTACTTGGTTGGGGTCCGTGCGACTATCGTAACCAATGCAAATAATATAATGTATTTGTAATATCCCAATGAGTAGAAATGGGTTTGGTTATTTATTCTCTGAGGAAGTGGCTTACACTCAGTTACGAAACGTCAGAAAATTTAATTTTCCTACTCATTGGAATATTACAAATATATTGATTTATTTATAACAATCTACCCAATGCTCAATTTACTCGAAATTATCAAGTCAAACCCTTGTAATGATATCGTAACCAATGGTTAGAGTCTCCGTGTGACATGGCTTAGAATCGGTCACAATGGCGCAGGTGTATATACTCTTTGTCTTCCCTTAAATCGTGAGATTAAAATTGCTCCATACCCCCTCTCTTCATACGAACTAATTCTTTCTTCCTGTGTTATATTCTCATACACAATCTTTCTTTTGTATATTTCTACCATTGAAGTAATTCTATGAATTTGGTGTTGATCTTGTGGTGCCAATAAGGTGTGGCCACTTGAACAGATGCATATATGCTCCTGGCTTTCGTTGTAGCTGACCGACTGACTGAGATGCAAAGGTCTAAGCCGAGTGTGAGTGATTTGGTCATCCCTGTATTCCAAGATTAGAAGACTAACTCCGATGAGATTAGGTCAATAAAAGATAATTGCGAATATTGGTCTGATCTGTTTAGATGAATGTTAATTTTCTGTATGAGGTTTTCATAATTCTAAAAATCATTATTTAGGTACTTTAGATTCATAAGATCAACTATAATTGCATAGGTGCATCTATTTTTCTAAATCTTTCATGTTTATGGTAATTTCCTCCTGTTTGTTAGTTTCCTTCTTCCATACTTATGTGAATTGTTGGAATTTTACCGATACATTTCATTGTCAAGTTTGTTGTGGTGTGCTTATCTGTCAAGTAAATATTTTACGATGTCTATTATTAGTGCCATATTGTCAAAGCTGATTGAAAATGTCACATTGATCTTAATGTAATCGGTAGTCTGCTTCATAATTTTCAAAAATAAATAATCCCTGTCAAATGGATGCATCGTTGTATAAGAAATCGCATTTCTGCCAAACTTTAATTATCAAACCAAACCTTGGTAATGATACCTACAAACTTTAATTCGTTCATTTCTGTTTATTATTCTCCATTTAATTAGTGTATTAAAGCTAATACTGATACACCAGCATCACCTACTGAATTGTTAACCACGGTGCCCACATCTAATTCAAATATGTCAAGTAAGATTATCCCTATATCTCCCACAAGTATGAAGTGTCTCAACTCCACTGGTTCAATATCGGGTTCTAATATGAAGCCCAACATAGTACGACATAGCTCTTTACGTTTCGAAAAGAAAACTGGATCTGGGCGTTATTCTCGATTAGGGGGAGGTGTAAATGGAATGATGATGCATGGGGGTCTTGTTCAACGTAGCAATTCTGATAAGTTAGTGTAAATGTTTTTGTGAAATTGTATTGTTTTTGAAAATTATTATTTTTTCCTATTATGTGTTTTGTAATTTTATTTTACATAGAATAGAAGGTTTAGTTGCATATATATAATAACGAAATTATTTGAAAAATCAGACAGTTGCTACATTACATAGTATACAAAAAGAATTAGCAATTTTTTGTTGAAAGGTCACTATTATAGTATCTGTGTAAGAATTGAGAGATGGTTTTTCAGATTATGTAAAAATAAAACGTGAAAGAAATTGGAAGATTGTTTATCAAAGCTCACTCTTATACTGATGGCCAAGGTAGTGAGAGTGTTTTCTACACCTCATTTATTAACCTTTAATTTACAATTTCTTCGGTAGCGTTATTTAAGAATTTGCATAGAATATTTTAAAAAAGCCCCATATTGTTTAATTCATATCCAGGTAATTTGTTTATGCTTTATCCTTGCGTCTATTTAATTTGTTTAAAAATTGTCATCAGTTTTCATACAATAATTATTATATTTGTGTGTAAACTGTGCAATTTTATATTTGGTCCTAAATTATCATTTAAAATAGTTAATACTTTGCTAAATTTACGGAAAATTGTTTTTAACATATCCTGTTGATCTACAAATTATCGTTACTATCACTCGACCATCTGCCGTTATATTTGTGTAATATCCTTCATTTTCGTATGCAATCATACTCGTAATGACTAATTTTCTCTTTTTTTGTGTTTGATAATTTTTATAGTTACAGTCATTCTAGCGGTTTACATGGTCATTCAAATCGTCTCCCACGTGGTGGAATGAATAATCCGGTAAATTCAATTTTTATTACTGTTCCTTTTGTTAAATTATCTTCAATACTAGGAGTTTGCTATAATCTCCATGTTGAGTAGCTTATACTCTATAATGCAAGGCTGCAACAGTAATACAGATTTGTTCAAAAGTACATTCCTATGTGTATGTAATTTACTGTTGAAAAATCCTTCTTTTCTCAGTAATCAAAAATTTTTTTCTTGTGATGGCTTGAAATGTTATGTTGTTTCGTTTTGATTACAAGTTATTGATTATACTGAATGTCACTTTTGTTAACTGATGTGTGTCAGTGAAGAATTTTTTACTCTTACCGTATTCATATTTGAACTCCTAAATGCGTCAATTTTCAGAGAGATAACAAGAAAACAACATATTGTAATTGCTGAAAGATGAATGTAACTAAAAGATAAAACTGTGTACTTTTGATACCATCAGAAAATAAGTGACTGAAGTTTAATAATGTTTCAGAAATCAAGATTATAGAACAAGAATGCGTTTTGTTTGACAGCAAAGTATACAAAATAATGATTTTCAAATAAGCCGTTCCTAGTCACCTAACGAATTCTTTCCATAAAATCAAGTCAATTGATGATCGATGGATGGTTGCACAAAGTTAATTCAATTCATGGATAAGCTTTCGTTGACATTGTTATAGCTGTAGGCTATTTACCTGTATTCGAAGATGAGATTATTTAAAAAATTAGTATGATCTAGTCAACATAACATACATCTTCGTAGCTTGATAGTATACTTCTAGTATTGTCTACATGAATTTGACTCAACCTGTTTCTCAGTGAAAATTCCAATATTGTTCATCTGTTTTTCACTTGTTTACTTGATATCGTTCTGGTTCATTTAACTGTTCCGTGTGTTCTTACTAGCCTGTTCAAATGAGTAACTTTGCAACTTGAATCGATTGCTCTGTGGTCAAGTAATCATGGTAAATACTTGACCAAACGAGCTATTGTGCACATGCGTCACACATAGCTCAGATTCGTTCGACATAAGACTAAAGTCGGGTAGAAAAATTGTCGTTTTATCAAGCACATATTAATTTGTATGTGTTCACAATGTACTGTATTTATTAAGGTAATCGGAACCAACTAAGGAAACAAAATATACTACTCTCGCTATCCAACTAACGAAATCAATATTTCTGGGTGTACAGGTATATAAATGGTTCTAACTTTGACAAGGAAAAATTATTTGAGAAGCTTGTATTTTCAATCCTAGTGTGAACAGTCGTTGCTGTTAATTAAACATACGTTTGATAGTTAGATTCATCTAATCATAACCCTATCTTATGATAAAATCGGTTAACGATCATTCAAGGAGTTAACAGCTTATCGTGTGTACACATAAATATTGTCTTTTATTGTTGAGGGAACATTGGATTCCATCAATCTATTGTTATTTAGTACATTCAAAAAGATATTCCCAGATGTTTTAAGTATATTTTATTAGTATACTATAGAGTTAAGGTTTGTTGTTAAATGCTACCGTAAAAATTTGGTAACATTTTTCTGTTTATTCTCACACAGACTAATGTCTTGATAGTTCACCAAGCATACGAGTTTCAACCGTTATATCATGAGTTATATTTCTAGTCCTTTCACACTACAAGTTTAGCTCAAAGCTAGATTTTTGAATTTAAACTTGATTGTTGAGTTGCATTGAATTTCATATGTCTCAATGTGTGTAAATCCAATGGAATGTGGCCATATGCTTTCAATTTTCTGTTATTTTTATTCCTTCTTGATAGTTTCATTTTATTTTACTATACAGTCTAGTGTAGTAATAAAGTTACAACTCAATAACCAATTACAAATACATTTTCTCAACTTCATGTTAAACTTCTATAAGGGCTATATATACTACTGGATTGTCTAAACCTTAGTAAACTATGGATTATGTGTTTAGAAACATATAACTTATTAGTTAATAAATTAATACTAAATAATCATTTAATCATCACTCCATTATAAGACTAGCGCATAATACATAATGATAAATAATTATACTCTTATAATCCTCTTTTAGGAATACTGGCACAAAAACAAAGTGAGTAATAAATAACCAAAACAATATATTTTCACTACTAATCACAGCTAATATAACTCAATTATATATATATATATATATATATATATATATATATATATATATATATATATATTATTTGTTTGTCCTGTAGTGATTTGTGCATTTTTCTCAGTACAAATTTTTTTGTAGAAATCTACATTACAAGAATATAGTTTTCTTTTTTCTATTCTACACTGTAATCATAAATATTTTTTATGTATATCTGTGTTTTCTTTTTTCTGGAAAAAAAAGAGAAAAATCACTCGACTATAAATGTTCTAAGATTTTGCAGATATCTTCTTGAGATTAGTTTAAAATATAAATTATTAGTATTTACTACTAATGAATTAGTTTATTTTTATGTTCAATCTATCAAATTTGGTAATCAAGAAAATCATTAAAATCTACTTTTCCTGATTAGTGGTGTTTTACTTCGTTTTTAAAAAATGGTGTTTAGCTATTCAATTGTGTTGTTATTCTATAGAATAATATTATGGTTCAAGGCGGTGAGAACGAATGACCTAGATTACACCTTTTATGTTCACTACAATATTCATAGATTTTTCTTTTAATTTAAAATATTTACTAACCTAATAATATAATAACATTGAACCCTAATTGTATTCAAAAGGTATTTTGTTTATCTGGTAAACTGCAACAAATTTTGTAATCCATTCATTTTACTCTGATATTTAATCCTCATCGATAAATAATTTTAATATTTATGTATATCTTTCAACTATCGTTGAAAGATATTGAAGTTATGCTATAAGGAAAATTTACTAATCATTTGTTGTCAGATTGACAAATAGCTCTGTTTTTCAGCAGAACTTCAATTGATATCATCTCATAACATAAGTGACCTTTAAAAAAATGCAACAAAGCATACCATCTAAGTAGTTTGGTGTAATGTCCTAAGTTTTTGACATAAATGTGTTGTTATTTCTGTCCGCTTTATTTTCCACTGAAAACCTACTTCTTTGAGCTTCAATACAATCGTTTAGGTTTAATGTTTATAAAATGAGATCGTTTTCATTGTTTTTTTTACCTAGCGTCATAATAAAGCACCAAATTTTAAACCACCATCGAATTGGGGTCCGATGAATATGGATTATGGTAACATGGGTGTAGCACCGTCGTCTTCTTCATCTTCTGCTCCTGGTTCATCATCCATCGATATTAATAATAGTGGGAATATGGGTCATTGGATGATGCCTTCTGGTGGAAATATCAATCAGAATAATCCAAATATGATGCAGTATAATAATCCACATTCTATGCAACATCATCCATATCATTCAGCCCTTAATAATAGACCTATGCGACCAAGTTATAATCTGAATGGAACTGCCGGGCATAATCCATACAATACTGGTATGATGCGTGGAAATAAAAAGTAGTATTTTTTTTAACTAACCAAATGTTGACTGCTAATGAAGATTACCTATATGTATGTACATATATATATTTTATCGACCCCTTTTGCTACTAAATCAAATTTCCCATTTGTTCTTTAATCTTGTTTTTATTGAAATAATTTTGCACAAATATGAACTGTTTGTGATGGTGTCTCTTTTTTTTTTAAAAAGGACAAGAGGATCTTCAGTGTATTTTCTTTTGTTAGTTACTTTGTTCACTACTTGACTTGTTTTTTTTTTGTTGTTGTTGCGTATAACGAGATAAATATTGTGATGATAATACTGATAACTATGATTATTGATGCTGCTCATTTGTTCTTTATCCTTGTAAATTATTTATTTGTATTTTGCTCTCAATTTTTCTCTTCCGTTTTTAACTTGATAGTCGTCTTCATATCGCCTTTGAAATATACGTGATCATATTTATTAATTATTTGCTTGTGTAAATAATGAGCACAAATTTAGAAAAAATATATACTCACTGCTATTCCTTTAATTCAGTTTTGTGCAAAACCTTTCAAATTAACATGAAAATTCGTTTAAAGCATTACGAATACTTGCTGAAAGTTTTAGAATATTTTTGTATAGTATACATATTAAATAAAATTGATAGGTGGTAATATGATTACTCAGTGGTTGTCTATTTCTCACTGATATCGGCGATCTTGCCTTCTATCCTACAGTATTATTTATTTTATTGTTTTTCTCGTACAGTTGATGAGCTTGATGAATATCGTATGTAAACAAGCTGATTATAGTTCTTCGATATGCGTCTAGATTGACCAGTCAAAGAGATATAGATGCTTGATTAAGTGAATAATAGCCACTGCAGACTTGTACTTCTCACATACCGTATGCCTTTGCAACCTCATGCCTGTCCTTTATTAGTATGTCACAGCTAACATTTGAAAGTAAGTTTCCCTTCTTGAATCCATGCTCGATAATTGAGGTGAGTGCATATCCAAATATATTAATACAGAAACCTTTAATAGGTATCAAATTCACTCTATTATATATTTCTCTAATAAAATAAAACCGATAAAAAGTGCTATAAAACATTATTTGTCCAGCCACACTTCACCAAGAATTATATGAGATAAAAGTTTCGTAGAAGGAAACTAGAGTATAATTTATTGAACTGAAATAAAATTCTTGATTTATATATAAATTCTGACAAAAATTCATTTCAATTAATAGCCATGTATTTCGGTATTAGTTATTCATATAGTGAATTAACCAACGTAGAGAGGAGGGTATGTGCAATTATATTAAAATAATCTGTATACGTTAATAATTAATAATAGTAATATAACAACAACTCTAACAAATAACACAAATAAAATACTACTAAAAAGTTTAAAATCTTATAAAATTTATTTTCAGTTGTTTCTTTGGTTAAAGCTTCTCAAGAAGGTATCTAGTTGATATGCTTCTGTTATAGTCGATCATCAAATATTTAGAAACAAATAACCAGTAATGTAAAAAATACCAACATAACTATGTAATATTAATCAGATGTTTAAAACAATTAGTCCCTTTGATAAATTTCGATAATGCAATGAGAAGACGAAGGTTATCAGAATTAAGTGATGTATTTGCTCAATACATTTCGAACAATCTAATCACACATCTATACTTGTTAAAACATTTTTATATGAAAATTGAAAGGTTAACTAGACAGGTTAGAGGTAAGCCGTAACAAAGAAAAATAAAGTGTACAAAAACAATGTGATAACCACTCTGGATAATTAATCAGTATTACCAGGGTAGGTTGAGGGTAAGAGCAAACAAGGACGAGCGTTCTTGATTACGCTGCTAGCCACTATCCATCTTTGACGTATACTGATAACTATGATTATTGATACTGCTCATTTGTTCTTTATCCTCGTAAATTATTTATTTGTATTTTGCTCTCAATTTGTCGTGGATTGGTTGAAGTTAGATATTAACGCCGTCGGATGCCGGCTCTGGTCTAGTTGGTTAGGCGCCTGGCGCGAGACCGATAGGTCTTGGGTTCGAATCTCGCGGGCTGCGGGATCGTGGGTGCGCACTACTGAGTCCCGTACTAGGACGAAACGGTCATCCAGTGCTTCCAGGTTTTTCATGGTAGTCTAGCTTCCATTGACTCATGCTTTCAATCAGTGAAGTTTACTGATTTATTGAAGCATTGGCTTATATGGAAACTGAAACCCCCTTTATGTGTTCAAAAACGATTTGTTCTTACCCTTAACCTACCATGGTAACACTGATTTATTACCCGGAGTGGTTATCACGTTGTTTTCGTGTACTTTATTTTTCTTTGTTACGGGTTACCTTTAACTTATCTAGCTGACCTTTTATTTTTCATATAAAAAATATCTTAACAAGTATATGTGTGATCAGATTGTTCGAAATGTATTGCGCAAATATATCACATAATTCTGATAACTTTCATCTCATTACATTATCGAAATTAATTAGATTACTAAAATGTTTGTAAGAAGATAGCATTAGTTGACGAGCGTGTTGTACTTGGAATATTAACTCAAAATATATACACTAAAAACACCAACAGTACAAATGAATTAATTATTCACAGTTATCAATAGCAGCATGCATAAACGAAATGTGTTTTCATGATATTGATGCGAAACTTAACATTACTGTTAAATACAAGGTAGTATATTCATTTGATGTGAAATTAATATTTAATAAAATGTCTTCAGATTAAGCTACTTCCTTGTTTTATACTAATTTCAATCAGTCGTTATTAAATATGAAGTTTTCTTCATTACATAACTAACATAAGTTTGCAAAAAGAGATTGAAAACCAAGTAGCATTCGATAGTTGTTTATTTTGGAGTCTACAGCAATGTGTACTCAAATTATTCTTAAACCATTAAGTCGAATTACAACATTCATCGAATTTCAGTTCAGTTAATTCTTGAGATTATAAGACCACTACACATTGTTTTCACTAGTGACTAGCTTAAAGAAGGCTTGGAGTTTCAATGAGAAGTCATGAGCATTGGATTTCACCCCTGTTGAAATATATATAGTGTACTTGGTACACACCTGATACTTAATCAATGTTATAGTCGTACAGTACATTAACATACACACAAATCGCTCTGTGAACCAAACGTTTTTCAAGTAGTTAAAAACCACACTACTTCCATTTATTTAATTTCACCGTCTATCTCCTTAGAGTTGAATACCTGAAATGAACTCTTCCATCACATTTCTTATTTGTCTTTTATTACTACTGTTCTTCAATGGAAATATCTTAAGTGCTGAATAAGAAGTTAACTGGGAAATAATGCCTTATTCATCGTCGTCATCATGGAGTCAACACGGCTTCACATAACACCAATAGTATTGGATGAAATGTTCATAAATAGTAAATACAAAACACTAAATATCAATTCAGTGGTTTAATACTACTATTCTACCCATAAAATCTTTACACTATATGCCTAGTTCCGTCTGAGACCTTAAGTATACGCCGTTGCAGAGTACCAGGCTAATATAAAAGAAGTGGTCTTACTAACTTACTCACAACTCATACCCCTCGTCGAGGAGCATAGGCTGCTAATCAACATTCTCCATCAAACTCTGTCCTCGTTAATCCTTTCCAGTTGCTATTTATCCTTTTTATGTCTGCTTCTGATTCACTACAAGATGTGTTCATTAGACTGCCTCATGATGCAGTCTGATGATTTCCGCAATCTATGTCCTATCCACTTCCAACGCCTTTTCCTATAGTTTATAAATACTTGTACTTCTTTGATAATGGTCGTGGTAGTTCCCCAAGTTTCAGCTCCGTACAGTGGGACTGTCTTAATGTTAGTATTGAAGATTCTGACTTTGATATTGGCTGACAGAGTGTTGTTTTGAGTCACATATGTCCCTCAACTTCAGAATGTTGCCCTCACTTTGCCGATCATTGCATTCACTTCTGCATCAGATTCTCCTTGATCATCGATGATACTGTCCAAGTACGTGAAAGATCCCACATCTTCCAGAGTTCCTGCATTAAGCGTGATTCGTTTGATTCTCTCTATGTTGTGTTTGAGGATCTTGCTTTGCCCTTGTGTATGTCGAGGCTCACTGATACACAGAATAATGTTTCACTGTTTGTCTCTACCTGCATTTATTGATGTGTATGGGATAGAAGAGCCAGGTCATCCGCGAAGTCCAAATCTTCTAATTGATTCCGAGCTGTCCATTGTACTGCGTGCTTTCCCTCAGATATCGAGGTCTTCATATTCCGGTCAACCACCAGAAGAAAGAGGAAAGACAAAAGTAAACAGCCTTGTCTAACACTGGTCCCCACTTGGAATTTGTCTGTCAGCTTTCCTCTATGTACGACTTCTCACTGTAGTCCGTCGCATGAATTACGGATGGTGTTGATGATTTTCTCAGGTACTCACACTATAGTGTCGAAGAACTTTCCATAATGTTCTCCTGTCCATAATGTCAAACGCTTCCTCATAGTCAAGGAAGTCGATGTGTAGTGACGAGTTCCATTCAACTGGTTGTTCAACGATGATCCGTAGTGTCACGGTTTGGTCTGTGCACGACGGATCATTACGGATCTGTTGATCTCGAAGTTGGACGTCTACTGAAACTTTCATCCGGTTCAGAAACACTGTTGAAAACTTTTCTTGCTACCGATAGTAATGTGATGTCTTTGTAGTTCTCACATTTGCTCAGATCGCGTTTCTTTGGTATCTTGATGAAGTGTCCTTCTCTCCAGTCTGATGGGACTTGACCTCCCTCCCAAATCTGCCTGCATGAAATGTGGCGCATCTGTGCAATCACCTTCATGTCTAACTTCAATCGTCGAGTTGGTATGTTTTCTGATCCTGCTGCTTTATCGACCTTAAGTAATTTGATGCCCACGCCCATTCCTTCGACTATTGGTAGGGTAACACATATAGGAAGGTATGTAGGTGCTACTTCGATGTCCGATGA